CATATAGCCACGGCCCACAGTGGTCCACAAATTAAAATTAGGCGGTCTTTATTGCCCAATTTTAAAATGATAAAAATTGGATTTTTTTTTTTATTTAATATGTCTACATCCTGACAAGTCCAAATGTGTGTTTTGAAATTCATAAATATTTTCATAACTCGAGTTATAGCTATTTTAATGAGACATTTTTCGATTTATCTGTTATTTTATTTTAATTTTGGTCATTAATTGATTATTTATTTATATCACATTGTAACCACAAAAAAATTAAAAATATACTTTTTTAAATTATATTATCTCTGTTCTATAAATAGATATACTTTTACGAAATATATATATTTTTTAACACATTTATGATGAAGTTAACTCAAAACTTTTCGTTTTTTTCTTTTTTTTTTCTTTTTTCAAAGTCTGCAGATAAAATTTACTCAACTTTACACTATATCCAATACATTTATCTTATAGATGAACTTCTCAGCTATACATTGATGTACATTTTGTTTGCAACTATTACGTACACGAATTATTATCACTTCAAAATTACAGATTACTCTAAAAACCTAACCTAACCTAACCTAACCCTCGACATTATTACGTTATTATTTTTAGACTATGTGATTTAAWATGTAGTATTTCTTTTCAGAAATCTTTTCAGTATTGGTTCCTTCATAATTTTTACTGGAATGGACAAATTACTCAAAACGGGGCAATTATTATCAGTAGAGAAAACCGGTCTAACATCTACAAGTAAAAGCAGTACTTCGTCTGTTCCATTGGAAAACTCGACTTTCCACCGTGAAGCAGCTCCTCCCCAAAAACTAACTGTCGAAAATGAGGCATTTCTAAGTAAGGAATACACTCAAATTAATTTTTCAAAAGGTAAAACAAGACGATATGATGAAGAATATTTATCGTTTGGATTTATTCTCATTGGAGTAGACACGTTTCCCGATGTGAGGTGCGTAGTTTGTGAAAAAGTTCTCAGTAACAGTTCTTTGGCTCCTGCGAAGCTTAAGCGACATTTGAAATCTAATCATCCAAATCTGTAAGGGAAAGATCTGGAATTTTTTAGAATGAAGAAAGAAATTTCAATTGAAAGTGCGAGTTCTCTCACTAAGTATGTAAAAGACGAAAATGAGAAAAACACAGAGGCTTCATCTATATTAGGTTTTAATATTGCACGTGCCGGAAAATCTCACACCATTGCCGAAAGTTTGATTAAACCTAGTATGATAGAAGTGGTCTCTTGTGTTCTCGGAGAAGATGCGGGAAAAAAAGTTGCAGCAGTGCAGTGCTCAAAAGCCTCAAACAATACAATTTCTGATCGAATTCAAAAAATTTCATCCATTGAATACGAAAGTTTGCTTGAAGTAAAATCTTCATCTGAATTAAAATTCAAGTTCAAGTCACTTAAAATTAAGGAATTCTGGATCGCCATGGAAAGTGATTACGAACAATTGTCCATAAAGGCTATCGCCGTTATATTACCATTTTCAACTTCCTACTTGTGTGAAACTGGCTTTTCAGCGTATACAAAGACCAATAATAAGTTTCGAAATCAACTGAATGCGGCTCCGGACCTACGAATCCAGCTTTCATGAATAACTCCAGATTTAAAAACAATTATGAAGAAAACTATGGAAAGATTCCAATCTTCTCATTAAATCTATTTTAGAGTAATAAAAGAGAAATATTAAATTTTAAGCTATGGTATGATCATTTATATTTATAATATTGTAATTGTAATAGTTATAAACAAAATAAAATGTTAAAACTGTCTTAACTATGTTTTTTAAATTTTATTAATGACACTTTTATGCCGGAAGTGTCCAAAAACCCACTCATTTCAGTGTACAAAACATATATCTGCATTACTATTATAGAAAAAATGGGGGTTCCTCAAAATGTTCAAGATCTTGCAAGGGTTCCGCAAGTAAAAGAAGTTGGGAAACGCTGCCTTAGATCATATACAATGGATAGAGCTACTGCATTATAAACGTACTATGGGTTGAAGACA